TCCGATAGACTTCGTTGCATACAACCACGTAAACTTACTAAAATTGTCAATCACAACGAATATATGGCGATAGTTTTTTCGCGTTGACGCTAAAGAACCCAAATGATCAACGTGATACGTGTCTAAGGGAACTTCGCCCTTATCAATAGGTAGCAAAAAACCTTCTTGTTTGCCGAAACGCTTATTAGCTAATATACAATCTACGCAATTTTTAATGATCTTTTCGATCTTTGATCGCAAATTCTGAATGTAATAGTCACGCTTAATAATCGCTTCCGTTTTCATAATGGAAAAGTGTCCTCGTTCATGCGCGCGTTTAATTACTTGAGAACACATCACTTTAGGAACTATTAAACGAATATCATCGTCGACATCTCTAAACAACAATCCACCGCGTATAGAATAATCGTGAGTTTTATTTTCCTCCGTTAATTGGATGATTTTCTTAATGTTTTCATCCTCGGATTGAGCCTTTCGAAGTCGTACTGTTAAACCGTCATTGCTTTCGTCTAACAATAAACACATGGGTAATGGATTTCGACTTAGCGCGTCGACATGACTCATATTTTTACCTGGCCTATGCTCAAGTTTATAATTGAAATCTTCTAACACAAGTGCCCATCTTGCTACTCTTAAACATAAATCTTTCTTTGACATGGTCTGAGTAAAAGCGCGACAATCCGTAACAATTTTGAAAGGTATTTGTAATAGGTATACTCGGAATCTTTTTAACGCTTTAACGATAGCGAGAATTTCCAATTTGTAACTTATATACCTTGTTCTGTCGGAGTTGTTTTACCACTCGCGAAATACACAGGATGCATTGCATTATCATCAATATTTCGCTGTAAAAGGATAGCACTGTATCCATGGGATGATGCATTTGTATGAAGTTCAGTTTCTGCGCCAACTCTATACAACGCTAACACGGGTTTGTTTGTGAGCATTAACTTCAATTGATTAAATGCATTTGTTTCTAACGACCCAAATTTAAATTTAGTTCCCGTCTTTAATACATTCGTGAGAGGTCGTGCGATAATTAAATAGCTGGGAATAAACTTTCGGAAGTAACCCGTTAATCTTAAGAACTATTGTATTTGCCGCATGGTAGTGGGCGTGGGAAAACTCTTTACCGCTTCAGTCTTGCGTTCCGAAGGACGAATATGTCTATTTTCTATTATATGACCTAAAACAGGCCTCGGAATTATTTCATCTTTTCAGCCGATTCTCGTGGTATACGCCTTCTTTCCTCTCTTCACCGCGCGCGCGGCAGCCGCTAGGGCCAGCGCCGCCGAGCGTTAGGAGCGGCGCTATCCGATTAATGTTAAAAAAATTTATTAAAAATATTTTTTTCCTCAATAGCAATAGTACCTCATGGGTGACGTGGAAATCTATTGAAATATTTTCACATAATAAATTTAAAAATAAAAAA